CATCATCCTTGGAAAATGTGCAGCTTCCCCCTGACCTGCTGGAGGGGATGGGAAGTGTCTGTGTGATGAGATGCAGAGGCTCAGTCTTGAAATCCTTTTTGGATAAGAGGGAAAATGTTAAAAATGTATCTTCTAAAGGAGAGAGGATTGGTGTGACAGCTCCTGAATGAATTGGATCCCAGGGTTTACAGTCTATCAGCTCAGCTCTCTGCTTCATATTTGGTGTTTTTCCATCTGTAGGAAAAAGCATTATCATTTAGGATGAACTTTGTCCACTTCATGACAGATAAAATTATTGCACCAGCTACAGATGAAGGGAGATGAGAAGTGGGTTTGCTGCATCATTTTCCATGCTCCTGTTTATCCCAAAATCTTCAATAATGGGCAAAAATCTGACAGAGCAGAAAATCGCCAGCTGTTCTGAGCTCCTTTTTCACTTGCACAGCTGCTTAGAGAAGAGAATCTGTCTGGTTAAACCAAAGGGATTTCAGAAGAGAGCAGCAAAATTTAAGAACTAAACAGGTTTAAGTAAGCAATGACTCTGCAAGATAATAAGCTCAACATTTTAAGTACAAAACAAGGGGAGGAAATATTGAGCTAAGTCAGTGAGAGCTCTTGGGGAGAAGTGGCAGGAATTCAAAGCACAGAGTTGTAGCAGTGCTTTAAAATTCTTTAGGTAAATAAGGTCAAAAGACTAAGTAGACACTCTTGTCTTGTTATAAACCGTGTTTGGAGTTCAAATATTTGGAAATAAATTTTAAACTAGCCAGCAAAAGTATGTTTCTAAGCCAAAGGAAGAAGAATTGCAGTAGTTTTTGCTTGCTAAGTTAAATGAGAACAAAGGCATGAATGGAAAGGGGCAAGGAGGGCAGAGCCAGTGAGAAGTTATCAAAGGAAGAGTCTTGCTTTGTCTCCATTACTGATAGATTGGATCATCTTCTCTACCCCATTGTCCCTGCTTTGGAGCTTTTCAAGTGAAGCTGGAGATCTATTTTAACTTTCATTGCGTGGTTTTCCTGTGTGAGCCCCAGAGGAGACGAGCACAGCTCAGCAGAGCTCTGAGAATCCACGAACATGAAATATTAGCAAGCATTTCTTTGTGTTCTGCTGCCTCAGGGCCGTGTGCTGGCTCTGCAAACACAGCAGTGGGATTTTGACCCCAAATCTACTTTGCCAGTGGGCAGAGGGGAATCCAGCAATAACAATCACCTGGCAGCCACCCAGCATGCCTTGGAAAACAATTAGACAACTGTTTTCTAGTCCAGAGCAAGTTTCTTTTGGTATCTCAGAAAATTAGTCCTTCTTCTTCATTTGTGCACCTGGCACAAATCTTGGGAGCAGCCAGGTACCCTGGATACAAATATTTCTGTCTGACCTATTCCCTGAAATCAGGATCTGAATTTTCTGGTTTTCTCCTCTGCTCCAGGTGTAAATGTGGGATCCAAACAACAACAGAGTTCTAAAGGAATGCAGAAGCAGGATGTGAGTTCAGATGTAAATATTTCAGCCATCCCTATGCAAATGGGGGCAATTCCTGGATTTCTCCTTGGTGATTCTCTCCCGAGGATACTGAAGTGTGTGACAGGTATCTGGGACCTACAGGCAGAGTTATTCAGATGGAGAGATCTGGCCAAGATCATCAAGCAAGTCACAGGAAAAGTTGAAAATAGAGCCTGATTTTCCCTTTTCCCAGATCACACTGTGTTTCCATGGGGAACCACTGGGCATGTGTGAGAAATGCAGCTGACAGGAACACAGAAATAACCATTAAGAAATATTTGCAGTGACTCCCAAGCCTGTCTTGGTGTTGCTGTAATTGTGAGGTGCCAGCCTGTCACTATGGCTTTGCTCAGTCCCCAACACAGCTGAAATTGAAGAGACTTTTCCCAACTTTTAATGACATTCCTGTGCAATGCAACTCACTGTGCATATCTTGAGGGAGGGGTACAGCCTGTGAGTTGTTGTAGAGAGTTGGGAATTAATTACAAAGGACACAGGGTTGGAGTTCCTCTCAAGTACTTGCTCAGCTGTGTAACCTTGGGGCAAATCACTCAACTGCTTTGTGCCCAAGTAAACCCAGCTGTAAAACCATCTTGAAAACCAGATGGTGCTTAAAGATTTAAAATGCTCAGGAGAACGATGGGGGATGAGAAAAAAAAAATTAAAAGAAGGAATTCTGCAGCTCACTGCTGTTGGTATTGATTCCAGTGGAGTTAATCTGAACTAAATCAATAGAACTGAGAGGAGAATTTTCTTTGTTATCTAAAAATCACCCCACGCTCTCAAATCCTTGTTTTCCCTCTTCCCTCCTTTATGGCAGTACTTTCTCTCTAGAGGGTTAATTTTAAACCTTCAGTAGAATACATGTTTTCCCCTGGCAGCCTGAAGTTTCTAATTCAGGATCAGGTTCTACATGGCTAAACTTTGATCTCGTACAGGATTATTTTTAGGCACTTAATTCTATAGCATTCTTTTCTCCCTGCTTTTCGTGCTGCCATTCAGCCTTGCCTTTGGGGCACAGTGAGGTGTCCTGGGGTTCATCTGCTGCACCCCAAATAAAAATTCTGAGCTTTATTGCCTTCTGTAGATGGTTAGTCCTGGCTTGAAACCAGTATTTGTACTCCTGGTCAATGAACAAAGGAAATACTAAAGTTTCTGGAGCAGAATAAATGTTTGCCACATGTTAGTACCTAAGAGAAAACTTAAATGTTTCAATACTTTTTGGCTTTAGCAAAAATGTAGGTTTTTTTCCCCCCCACAGGAGTGTGGGAATACTTATTTGCATAAGGAATATTTCCAAAGCAGGGTATCTTAGGTTGTAAGATGGGAAAACAATAGATTTTAATGTAAACAAGGAATATTTAAATACGTGACACATGAAGCAGCCATTTTATTCACTACTCAGGGAAGACCTTGCATGTTTTAATTAACCACTAACGAAACTAAAACACTGACAGGTTTGAATTTTTGGTGACATTTCTTCCCAAATCAGAAAGGATTTGAGCTGAAGGAAGTTGCAAACTTCCAAGAGCTGGAGCACAAATTCAAACCAATGTCAGCAAATTGTTTTCAGCAAATCTAGCCCTTGTCATACAGTACTGGAGAGGCAAAGTTGTTCATTGCTATTCAAAATTGGTGATCATTTTTCCAACACAAAAATAGCTCTGTTTCTGTATGTCCTGCAAACTTCTCTATTTCTTGTTATTGAATCTTTAGACTCGATATTTGAGTCCTCCAATCTCTAGATTCAATATTTGAGCTGTGCTATCATTAATTTAAAACATTGAAATTCCATGCCATAAATATCAAAGTGCCTGGGATGATTAATGACACTGCTCAAACACTAAATTGTTAATTAAGCACAAGGCAAAGTAAAAATTCTCTGATATAATTTGAGTCCCTTTTTGGATGATCCAACCTTTCCCCTCCTACTACCACTTGAAACTGAATTTAAAACCAGGTGCAGGGCATTTGTGGGAATAAAAGACTCTTCAATGAATCAGAACACAAGACATTCTCAGATGAGCAGCTGTGGAAAACAATAAATAAAACAGAAAGTGAGCTGGAGATAAGACAAATCCAGGTGATAAAATCATGGCTAGAGCTGTCTAATGTAGGGAAATGAAGAATACAAAGCACATTTTAAAGCCCTGAGCTATACAAATACTCATCAGACTCTATTTCCATTTTTGCTGCTCCTAATGAGGAAAAGGTTGATTTAGCTCAGTCTTGCCAGATGAAAGTGCAGCTGGGAGTGTTTTTCCATATCCATCAAACTCGGGTTTCCCTCCAGTGTCCCTGAGTATAAATCACTGAGCTTGACTTCATTTCATGGTCCTTGAATTGCTGTGTTTGAAGAAGAGGTTGGTGCATCCTGAATTTGACATGGCCAAGCCCTTTCCTCCCCATCTCACAGAGAACAGAGTGCTGGGAGCTCTGTGCTGGTTTATTGGTTCCAGAAATCACTTTATGGGACACAGCCCCAAATCCCTGGATGTGCTGAGGCACAGGCAGACTCTGCTGCTGGGATATGTCCTGACAGGCTGGGATGCTCTGGGAGCTGTTCAGGGGAGCCTGGGTTTCACTTAAACAACAAAATAATGAATTCCCCAAGCCAAACATTTCAGGCATCATAAAATCTTTTCTTCTTAAAAAAACCCCAGACAACCTAATGATGTAAATATGTTTCATGTGAAGGCTTTGTTTCTTTGAAAGTATTTTGAACTTGAAGTCTAACTTTAAAAAATTAAGAGTTTTAGGTGACCTCCTTGCTCTTGATCAGTGCTATTTTTGGGCAAGTTTTAAACCACTCTGATCTCTTTCTCCCTTTTGCCATGTATGAAACATTCAGAAAAATGAGAAATGCCGTGGAGAAACTGACTACAAAATGCTGTCACGAGTTTGTATTTTGCCCAAATAATCGCTTTCAGAAGCAGTCACTGTGCTTTCAAACAAAAATAATCTGAAAAAATAGTGATTTTTAAAAAATCTCCCTTTAAAGAGACATTGTAAGGCTTAAGTTTGCATATGAACAGATCTCTCCACATTGCTCAGAGCTCTTTCTTTCAATTGATACTTCTCACTATTTGTGCTCTTGGTTTAAATGAATTAATTCATTTTTTTCCAGTCTTGCAATGAAGCAGATCCTGGTCCATTTTTCTTGCTCGGTACAGCTCCCATCACTCTCCTCATGTCCTTCTGTAATTCACTGCCTGTGTTTGGGACCACAACCATTCCCAAGGGGAGTCACATCTCTTATAAGCAGGATTTCATTATTCTCAGTAACAAAACCTACCTTTTAACACCAAGATATTTGACTGCACCCCTTTCAAACAAAAAAAAAAAAAAAAAATTTGGGACGATCTCTTTTTTTAAACCACAGTTTCGAAATCCCTGCCCCAAAGAACAAATTCTGCGAGTTCCTTTGCTGAGTGAGCAGAGGCTTTTGGAGAAAGATGTGAAAGGGTCTCTCACACAGCCCCATGGCTGAATTGATGCCCCTTTTTTCCACCCAGGGCTCTGGAACACAACTCCCGGGCGGCCTCATCAAAGCGCGGTGGCCGATTTGCCTTTGGAAGTCAGAGCCTGCTTCAAACGCCTCTTCAAGTCCTGCATGTTGGGCGACTTGGGCCTCACGAGGTGGAGTCCTCTCCTCTTCTCCCCGTTGCAGCTGCTGCTGCTCCTGCTCAGCTCCTGGCACAGCTGCTGGAAAGCCTCGTGCACGCCGTCGCAGTTCTCCCGCGCCGACACCTCGCTGTACGTGCCGCCCAGCTCGGTGGCCAGCTGCAGCCCTTCCTTGGAGGACACCTGCCTGGCCCTCAGCAGGTCCCCTTTGTTGGCCATGAGCAGCAGGGGGATGTTGGCGTTGGGGTGGATCCTGCGGATGTGCTGGTGCAGGGGTCGCAGCAGGCGGAAGCTCTCGTAGTCCGTGATGGAATAAACGAACACGAAGCCGTCGGCCCAATAGATCGAGCGGTTTATCTGCTCCTGGCAGCAGATGCTGTCTGTGTCATCCTGAAAAAACAACAGGATTTGCATGTCAGGGAACAGCCCCAGACACAGCTGGATTTTAACATGGGGCTGTTTGTTCTTTTACTGCCAGAAACCTCACTGGGTGTATCAGAGAAATTCCCAGTGCCAGCGTGTCCAGCCTGGAGAAAAGGAGATTCAGGGGGTGCTGATGCC